ATATGGGAAAGCTCCTGCGGGAGCGGGGACTGCTGCAGATGTGGGGAAATATGGAAAAGCTCCTGCAGGAGCGGGCACTGCTGTGGCAGTGTGGGAATTAGGTAAGGCTCCTGCGGGAGTGGGAACTGCTGCGGCAGTGTGGGAATTAGGTAAGGCTCCTGCAGGAGTTAGAGCTGCTGCGGCAGTGGTGAAATACAGAAAAGGCTCCTGCGGGAGCGGGGACTGCTGCGGCAGTGATGAAATATGGAAGAGCTCCTGTGGGAGCAGGGACTGCTGCGGCAGTGGGGAAATATGGAAGAGCTCCTGGGGACTGCTGCGGCAGAGGGGAAATATGGAAGAGCTACTGTGGGAGTGGGGAAATATGAAAGAGCTCCTGCTGGAGTAGGGACTGCTGCGGCAGTGGGGAAATACAGAAAGAGGCTCCTGCGGGAGCGGGAACTGCTGCAGCAATGGGGAAATACAGAAAAGTCTCCTGCGGGAGCGGGCACTGCTGTGTCAGTGGGGAAATATGGAAAAGCTCCTGTGGGAGCGGGGACTGCTGCAACAGTGGGGAAATATGGAAAAGCTCCTGCGGGAGTAGGCACTGTTGTGGCAGTGTGGGAATTAGATAAGGCTCCTGCGGGAGTGGGAACTGCTGCGGCAGTGTGGGAATTAGGTAAGGCTCCTGCAGGAGTGGGAACTGCTGCGGCAGTTGGGAAATATGGAAAAGCTCATTTGGGAGCGGGCACTGCTGCTGCAGTGTGGGAATTAGGTAAGGCTCCTGCGGGTGCGGAAGCGGGAACTGCTGCGGCAGTGGGGAAATATGGAAAAGCTCCTGCGGGAGCGGGGACTGCTGCAGCAGTCGGGAAATATGTAAGAGCTCCTGCGGGAGCGGGCACTGTAGTGGTGCAATACAGAAAAGGCTCCTGCGGGAGCAGGGACTGCTGCGGCAGTGGGGAAATATGGAAGAGCTCCTGGGGACTGCTGCGGCAGTGGGGAAATATGGAAGAGCTCCTGTGGGAGTGGAGACTGCTGTGGCAGTGGGGAAATATGAAAGAGCTCCTGCTGGAGCAGGGACTGCAGTGGCAGTGGGGAAATAGTGAAAGAGGCTCCTGCGGGAGCGGGCACTGCTACAGCAGTGGAGCAATATGGAAAAGCTCAGCTGGGAGCGGGAACTGCTGCGGCAGTGGGGAAATATGGAAAAGCTCCTGCGGGAGCGG